GTGTTTGAGGTGAGCCTTAAAATACATCCACAATCAGCCAATCACATGGCAGCAGCTCGATCCATTTGGGCATGTAGACACGCTGACGTTCAAAACCGAGCATCAGAGTGAAGAAGAAAGGCGATTTAAGTGACTTTGAATGTGGTTGTTGGTGCCAGAGGGGCTATTTCAGAAACTGCTGATCTACTGGGATTTTCAACCATCTCTAGGATTTACAGAGAACGGTTTGAAAAAAGAGGAAATATCCAGTGAGCTGCCAAATGACGAACACGTCCGAACAGAACAGGAGACTGAGGCTACGATGAGAAGGGTCTGATGAGTCTCCATCTCTTCCTTCAGATGGTCAGATTTTGGTCTAAAGCTTGGATCTGTCCTGCCTCGTATCGACGGTTCAGGCTGTTGGTGGTGTGACGGTGTTGGGGACATTCTCTTATTCCCTTATTACCGACTGAGCATCAGCTTACCCAAGTACTGTGATCCATCGTAGCCACATCCAAAAGTACCACATCAGAACATACTTTTTAAAAATAATTAATGTATTTTTTTCATTTGCAGCCTGTAGACAACAAAAAACATGCTGCTAGCTGGTGTTTGCATGAAGGACTGGGACATGGAAGTGCTTCTGTTGGCTTAAAACCACCTTCCTAACACGGTATCACCAAAACGGCCTCGGAGGTGTTGGATCTGTTGGCTCCTGTGGATCCTCTGATGCCTGATCGGATTGAGAGCGTTGCATCGTAACAAGATGATCAACATTATTTACGTCACTGTGGTTTTAATGTGGCTGGACTCTGTCCGTGCACGGCGGCGGCATCATGCACAGATCCTTGGTTTTGTTCACACTGAAGCTCTGCTGTTGTTATTATTCTCCTTCAGAAGTGGATGATGATGACATTTTACTCTTAAGCTCCATCTGTTGCTGACTCTGATTTATTACTGGTGATAATTACAGTCCTCATCACTGAGAGCTTTACGCTGAGGCTGGGTGGCCCTCGGACACCGGTTTATTTATTCATAGGGCTCTTACTGGGGTTTTTTACCCCCTGCTGTGGAGATACCGCCTTACCTTAAATATTAAAGCAAACACTTTGCTGGGTCATCGGTGAATTTAATATCGTATTAAATATGGAGATGTCCAGATGTCAACTTGTTCAGAACTTCCCAGATAAGCATAAGAATGACAGCTGGTTTATAACTCAGATGGCCTCTTGTGGTTCGGTTTCACTACAACGTAAGAAACTCTAAACCTGAAGAATCCTCGAGTCACTATTTCTGACTATCAGACATTAACACTGCTCAGCTTTTTGTTTTGCTTATAAATTAGAAAACACAGCAAATTGAGATGATTAACGCACACATAGAGGATAATTGATTTTGCATTCACATCCCTACATATTTCATCAGGAAACCTCTTTTTTTATCATAAATTGCAGATATTTAAAACGGTATCGGTTAAATTTTAGTACTTTCTGAGATTTCTTTTTTTTTATTTATTTAATTCCTGCCAACAGCCACCACCTTAAAAAAAAAAAAAATCTGACTGACTGACAATTGACTGACTGAATGATTATTATTATTGTTGTATAAAATGTATGTTATATTGATTAAAAAAAAAAAAAAAAAAGCTTGAGCTTTTACAAGATTGAATTTCCCTTCTGGGATAAATAAAGTATTTTTTCATTTCATTTCATTTTAAATGCCTGTCAACCCACTTCTTGCACATTGACATTAAACGACAATATCACAGGAACTATTAAAGATAAAAGATGAAACTTTTCACTGTTATTTCTCATCATGCCATTAATTCAGAATCTCCAACATCGGACAAGTTAATCAAATAGTCGCTGATGACGGGTGAGATCAGATATCAAAAATATTGAAGCTGTCATCTGAAGTCCTGTATTTGAGCACATATCAACTAGTGATGTTTTCTAAACCATGTCACAATCATACAACAAAACACTGAACATTTTTTAATATAAAATAATTGGGACTTTTTAAAATTAAATTTTTAAAAAATCATCTTATTTTACTTTTTACTACGTCACTGATTTATGGTGCCCACATCTTATTTTTGTGCCTATTTCATGTGTTTTCTTGCTCACCTACTTGGAAAAATGCAGCTCAATGTGCTCTTTAAAAAAATGTTCAAATGAAAGACTAATAAGCTATTTGACCAACAAAACAGCTCCAGTATCAGCACGCTACTGAGAAACTGTTGCCCAACACTGACTAAAAGAAAAGCTCAGAATCTGCAAACAAACCGGACTCTGGATGGCATCATTCATTATAGGTTTGTCATGTATAGACATTAAATATCCTGCAGGTACTCGATCAGAGTTTGAAGTCGTTCTTTTGTCCAACATTGACAAAAAAAAAGGGTTTAAAACTAAAGAAATGCTCTGAAATCTGTCAGTGATAAATGTGCTCACTGGATCCTGGCTGGCATCCTTCATCACAGAAATGTCGACATCAGGCTTCAGCGTCGTGTTTGCTGGATGTAGATGGATTATCGATACAACATTCGGTTTACTACGAAGCGACAGTGAGATATCTCTACGAGTCCAGTGTTCATCGCTGCACAACCAGTTGCTGCTGGAGGATCGAAGCAACAGAAGAACCTGTCAAACAATCCTCTGGCTCTCATCTCGCTCTGTGATTATAATAAAACTCTTAATCACACGGCCGTCCCTCAGTTCTCTGATGTTTCCGTCGCCGTCGCCAAACCCGACGGAGACGGATACTTCCCCCAACGCCTCGGAGCTCGCTAATGATTTCTTGCAGGAGCCATGAATCACCGGGTGCTTCCATCAGCAAGCTGCTGACGAGCATCGCCGTTTATTTACCGATCCGCTCCACCTTTGCGCAAACACATACGTCAACTTAACGGATACAGATCGGCGCGCACGTGAAGCGAGCGCGCACGTGCGGATTGAGCGGTTCGTGGTGGAGGATGCGAGCGTCGCAGTTAACGGTGATGTAGTGGCGCGACCTTGGCGACGCGGTTGTTGTTGTTCGCGGTGACGTTTGACCCCGAGGCTCGGCGGCGGCGGTTTGGCTGATTAATGGGTCTGTTGACAGCAGCGGGTTCAGAATCCCCTTGTGCACGTACGGTGGTGTTGCTGCACATGCGTGAGGGTGTTTTTACAAGAAACACTTTGGGTTCATCCGAAGTGATGCTGGAAGAGGAGCAGCCGTTATCTACTGAACCCTTACAGACTGTTTAAGGGGCAAATTTAACCCGTTTTGAAGTCTGACAGCAGTAAAAACACCATTTGATGACTTTTCCTAAACATGAAAATACTTTAAAAGGTTGTACTTTTGCGCCGGTGCTACAAATGTTTGTACACTGAGGCTGTTTGGGGTCGGATTTGACCTCTGAGATGGATTTTAGATCTACGAGTGTTGGTCAAATCAAGGAACACGGAGGTTTTAGGGACTCTAGAAATTCTACAGGCCATGTTTTCATTTAGATTTATTCATGTGACATCGGCTATTCTGAACAGATCTGTGGTTTAAAATGTGGTGTAGACACTTCCTACGAGGGGATTCTTGACAGGAAGTGAAATCTGAACCGTCTGTGCGGGTCAGAACTGACCTGAACCGTACTGTGAAAGCGTAACATCTGACCCGTCTGTGCGGTTTGGGTGTATTTCTGTGACGTGTTTGTCTGTTAGTTGGATAAAACGGACTCACCAGCATGATTCTGAGGACCGTCATCGTCAACGTGTCTTGACACTCCCTGGGAAAAAAAAAAGAGAGACAGAGGAAAGGTGTTGAGGTCAGACGTGATGCTTGGCGTTGAGCAGCATTTCGTGGCGTATGCACCGATAATCAAACATGTGTTGGATGCAGCAGCCGGCGAGGACCTGATTATTTCAGCAGCTTGCTCCGGGGTCAGGTCATCGACAGCGACGTTATTGATCTTCACGAGCTGGTCGCCAGGGACGAGCCGGCCATCTGCAGGACCACCTGCGCACACAAAACGTCCTTGTGTTGTCAAGCCTGAGGGTCTTCAATTGGCCTGCACTCACGCTGCAAACCGGCGCCGGTGACAGGCGGGAGCTTGTATTCTAGCGATTTCCTTTCATCTCGCACCAACGCATAATTTCTCTCTCTCTCTCCAGCGCGGGAGGAGCAGCGATCTAATCACTGCGCCTCCAGTTTGGGGTTTTTATCAAACGGCGGTATATCTCTACGCCTCACTCGGCTCCCTCACACCTTCGTCAACCCCAACGTCGATGACCTCTTATTTATTATCTCTACTGCTAAACTGCCAAAGCTACTGATAGCATCGGTTTGCTCTCTGTCTTTTTTTAGCAGCGTAAAGACGCCTCGATGTGTTTTACATCAGTCTAGCTGCTCAACAGTTGTGCTCGAGGCTACAGTTGATATCTGGGTTGTAACATCTCACATCTTCAGGCTCCTTCTACTCTGGTTTGATTCAGACTTTTTATTTTTATCACATACTATTGATATTTAAAATGGTACCTGTGAAACTTTCAGATATTTAGAGATGTATCAAGTACTTGGCGAGATAATGGTTTTAAACACACATTGAATGATTAAACATCTGAGGCCTTATTGAAGATAAACGCCTGAAATTGTCGCTGTTATTCATTATTATGCCACTGATTTAGGATCCACAACACTGGACAAGTGTTGGACATGAGTAACTTGAAATATTTCTTTAAAAAAAACACATCAAGTGATGCAGAAGTCAACTCGTGATATTTTCTGAACCAGGTTTCCAGACATAAGATCTCATTTCACAGCTCATACATGACCTAGAATCACTACCAGCTGAACAAGATGAGGAGGAAACACGCAGGGTTTGGACTGTAGAAGATAAAAGACGGAGGCAGAGCTTCTTCACCAGGTCCTGGTTTCTGCTGGAATACTTTAAATACTGCCAATAAATCAAATTGCAATTCAGAAATGAGCTCACTGGCTGCAAAACAAAAAACTCTGTTGTTTACGCAGCACATTGAAAACAACAGACTCCTTTAAAAACACAGAAATAAGACGAATGAATTTAAACCTTAAAACACCACAGTA